CGCTGTCACCAAAAAAAAATTTGGCGCAGACGCAGACGGCCACAGTCGTGGAAAGATTAGACTTAGGATATCTGTCAACCGCAGAACCTCGCTCCTTCTTTGCATTGCTTCCTTCTCTCTTCCTTATTTTCCTCACTTCAAAATTATAGCTAGAAGGTGTGATGAGAAAATTCCTCTGGACATTCGCACGAGAGAATATCCTGGCGCCCCCTCCCAAGTACGTTAGCGCCCATCTGGCTCATAGGATGTGAACCAAATTGTTATTTCAAGGGTTCGTCGCACTTATCTCCGAAACATCGAGGGTGACTGGAGCGCGATTGTCACTCACCGCGCCGACGAGTTTTCCGCCGCGATGCGGCAACCCATGCGATGCCGCGTCAGCATAACGGCTTTTTGCGTTTGTTGACAATAATTCTGGTATTTTTTACAACGTGTGAAGGGGATTTACTGGATCAGCTGCTTCTGATTATCCGCTCTTGTTTTTATTGGCGGCCCAGCTACTGTTTTCGAGCTGTGTTCGTCTTTTTTCGAGTAACACCAAAGGATTTCTGAGGCTCGCTGAATAAAAATTCCTGTTTTCTGAAAATCAGGCACTCTCAAATAATTTTACTATGAATTTGTCTGCCCAGAACTACCTCCAATCAAATAGACTCTATATCACCCTCATTAATAACCCTACGTTCCAGTTGTTTTTATGATAACTCATTGTGCGCAGAATTTGAGAAACTCGTTTAGGTATGATCGATGTCGCATGGCTGTGTGCCCTAGCGATTCGCAGTGTGTACTGGTTGGTCCTCCTCGCTTGCAACTTCTTGGGTTATTCAACGCTTTGGGCTCGACGGGAAATCAAACAGAGGGAACGTGACGTGAGTTCATCGAATTTGATTTATACTCGTTTCTTCCTGAGTTTTGCGGATCTGCATTTATACTCTGCGACACTGGAGAGTTGCGGAACTGGTAGAGTCGGAGAATATCTGGAAAAGAAAGTATAAATACCAATCTGCAGTGTCGAAGGGATGGAGATCTGCAAATCGGAGGATGCGCGAATAGACTAGATAGATATTGATTGACTCCGCCCACTTCAGGAGGATGTTCGTCGTTCTTCTGAAAACACCTGCCCATGTTGCGATTCTCATCAATGGTCGTGCCGTGAACAAGGTGATTTCATACTAGTAAAATCAATTTTCTCACGTTTGGCAACCTAATGTAAAGTGTTTTATTCTGAGCGTAGTTCAGCTTGGTGGGGGCAATAGCACTCAGCGCAGCGGAGCTTGCGATCATCTTATCAAAATCTGCAAAATGCTATGACTGATGCACTTTGCACCATTCCGTAGTTTTACAAGAGTTCCCAGGTCTCCCCAAAATGAGATCAGTTAGTTAACATGAACTAAAGAGAACCAAAGCTCTCCCAAGCAATGCGCTGCATTCTGGATTGGGTAACGATTTCCTCTAGTGTTTTCTACCTTCGGGCTTCTTTATAAATATTTTCGCAGGATTCACTGATGTCACTTTTGAATGTGTGTCTTGGTGCCAACATTCGTCGGCTGACAATCTATGATCCATTCACTGACTATTCACCATTAGCTGATGATCTCAGGATTTTCTGCAAATCCAAGGTATTTTCCACCTTACTGAATCTTAGGCGGCCTTACTTTGCGCCACTGATTCGAGCTTACGGCAGCATTTTTAGCGTTTTCGTGGGCGGCTCTGAGCTTAACGC